AGAGAAGATGATCTTTACCCAACTTCAGCTTGACATAATTAAAGTCATCGTGCCAAATACTAAGAACAATGTTAGGCTTTTATGTTTTAAAAATAAACCACTTGCTGTTGGATCAACAAACATATTCGTGATTCAGTGATGATTCAACAGAATTTAATTGGAGACATCAATTGCTCAAAATTAGGAGTTTTCTTTTTGGAAGTTGTTGAAAATGTGCATACAATTAAAGCTCCACATGTGTTCTCCAGTTGTAGTGGACTTCTAAAACAAGTATTAAATTACAGTGCTGCACTCACGGTATGCAATGTTCAAAAAACGAACGAATAAACAGAAAAAAAGCAAACAAACATGTAATGAATGTCTGAAATGTTGCCCGCTAATATAATTTTATTAAATACATAATGATCAAATAGCTCAGAGTTTATAAGCATGGAGATTATTGAGGCACACTGCTTAATCTACTACAAATACTTTAAACCGTGCAAAAACCACTGCTTTGAGATCATGGCCAAATGCATGTATATAACATCTGTATTTAAATCAAGGTTGAATGGACTTGCAGGGACGGGGATGAGCTCATACAAGCCCTGACGGGGCAGAGTCAGCAAAACTTGTTATATTGCTTTCCCACACAAAGGGACTGTGCCTGGCAACAGGCCTGGAAACTTTTGACCATCAGCATCTTTAGGAAAATGCTGCACCACTTCAAATCATGATAAGTTTATTGTAAAGTTTCCCCTCTTTAATGTATGTGTCAGTATTGTAATGTAATACATCACAGTCTGTCAGAGAGCTTGGTAGTAAAGTTTTCTTGGAATCTGGCTCACTTTGAAAGCACAGATATTCCCTTTGGGAAAAGAACAAATATTTTTACTGGCTACAAGAGATTAAACCCAGTTGGAACAATATGAAAAGAACAATTTAAGCCTTACTGCCTGGACTTCTGCTGTCCAGACAGCATTAGTGCTGAGGCACAGTTGGTGTTAACATTTATTTAATCTCATGGAAAAGCTGCTTTTGTTAAAATGTCGGGTTTTGCCAAATTTTCTTACACTTTCTTTTCTATTCGATTTTATTCCACTGTCAGCAAACTTTGTGGTTCTCTATTTAAATAACTTGGTTCAGACCAGGATATGACTGGAGCAATATTTTTAGAATAAGCAATGATTTAAATTCAGCTTTAAGTACGTTGGCAAAAAAAAAATAAATAAATAAAAAAAATGTGCTTAATTGTTTGAGTTTCTACTTTCTCACATTAGTCAGTGTACTTTTTCTTCCAAAAGTTTCCAATTAAACTAATATACTCTAGTGAATGTGGGGTTTTATATGGGTGAGTTTTTCTTTTCTTTGCAAGGTGGGCTTTGTTAAAGAATTGGATCTGTGGGGGTTGCCAGAAGGAGGGGCTCACTCAGGGTGCCATTCACGTTAGGACCGCCTCTGTTAAGAACAGTTACCAACTTTAAAATGATATGTTTGGTAACTAGGGAGAAAAAGTCTTTAAGACCCACCAAAACATAGCATGGCTTAGATTTATGTTTAAGTTGCAATGTGCTGAGCCAGCAGGACTAACAAAAAAAAAAAAAAAAAAAAAAAAGGGGGGGTTTTAATGGCGGCGCTTGGGGGGTTTCCATTCATGAATGCAGTCACTATTCTGCAGCCACATCATATCCTGGAATCAGTGGTTCACCGCTGTGGCACCCAGCGACCACCAGGCTTGTAACATTATGAAACCCCCATTGAAGTTTATGGGATCAAATAGGATTGTCTTTGAGACGAAAGGTTTTAGGACTGCTTCTATAAATGTGTTTTTCATTCTACAAACCAGTGCAACTCAAAGTAACATAGCAGATGTTGTGATCTGGTACTGTGAAAACATCCAAGTTTCCATGAAAACGACTGAAGATGAAACAGGAGAAGATGGGAGAGCAAGAAGAAATGGCAAACATGTTTGCAGAAACAAACAGAGCAGGAAACTTTATTTCCTAAACTTGAATGTCATTTCTTTTAACAGGATAACCAACTTACGCTTTCTTTCCGCAGATGGACCCGTGGTACCAATTACGACAAGTACTAAAGTATTTCTTCTTTGTCCCCATAACTTGCTGAAGTGCACAGACATTGGGTCTGGTGAAATTTATTGGAGAAAATGCGACAAGGATTAATAAGCACATTAAGAGTAAAAATTGTTTTTAAAACCAAAGTATTCATTTTGAGAATGTGGAGAAAAAGAGAGACTGCTCTATATCAAACTTTCAAATAATACATAAGTTAGAGTAGGTAAAACGAACACCAGTGTCTTTTCAGCTATACATATTGATGCAAGAACATTTATGAGCTTACATTTTTAAAATAAAATGACGTTCTTTTACAGTATATGAAACTAAATTGTAAGAAAGTACATTTTCTTGAGAAAGAAACATAAATGCACAGAGATGACTGCCCTCAAAAACTGAAGATTCCTGCATGTGCAGTGAAAAATTGAGGTATCTGAGGTTAGCACTGCAAACAAGCAAAATATAAACATAAAAAAAAAAGTCTATGTTGTTTGACTTACCCTTCTTTTCTTGCCCTAATGCGGCTGTGGGTAACTATTTTGTCATAAGCTGAGGAGTCAGCATGATCAAAGGTAGAGAGCACAAAGAGTGCGAAGGCAGCCACAAAGAGGAGCTTCATTCTTGATTCCTGAACTCCCCTCTAGCCCAGAGTAAAAGGAACACAGTCCTAGCTGGTGTTTATATAGCCCGAGTCTCACCCTCCACTCTAGGAGGATGGTTGGATTTCTGACATGCAAGAGCAACACAAACCTTTCCAAATGCCATATCTCTCCTGTTTGGCACTACAAACCTCTCACTGTGGTCTATAAATTATTATTTGTAACATTGTTTGTAAAGGAATGATGGCATTTGTGGAGCAAAATTATCTAAAAATCCAAAGTGCAGATGTTCTTTTTTCATTTAGAACTAACGTTTGTAAACTTGTCAAAAACCAAATCAAGGCTTTAAAGGTATAAAACCACCAGTAAAAGCACACAAACCAAATACTTTGGAGCAGCTATTTTACTTGAAGTTAAGAATTTGCATTTACTTAGTCTATAAAAAATGTAATTTGTGAGGGAAGCAAAAAAGCAATGAAGGGTGAGAAACCCCAAACACTTTACATGCTATTTGGGGAAACACCTCTAAGCTGAAATGTTTACTTACTTCAGAATGCAGTTTGTTCCCCCTGGTGGCAGAACAGAGTTTGGACACGTTATGTTTGCACAGAATTCTAGTGTTTTTTCTCCTGCCAGAATATTCAGAGAGAATATCAATTACAGATTTCTTTAATGACTTGGATCAAATTCAGAAATGTGGTGCAATGCTGAGGGTCACTGACTAAATATATATTTTTATTTTTTTTATTTTAGGAAATAAAAACATCTTAATGATCCTAGCTGACCATTCTAGATCATTTCCAGATCACTCTGCTCATCAGAATTTCCACTGTAAAAGACACAGAGTCTTGTAAAGTAAAACCAAAAGCGGCTATGTCACATTTACAAACCAGGGTAAAAACTTGGGCATTTTTGTGTGAACAAATAACATCTTAAGTACCAACTGTTTCAATACATCAAAACTCAGGTAAAATCCCAATTTATGCACAGATTGAGAGCATGTGTCAAATGCCACAAAATGGGAAAGCGTGTTTAATCAGAATGTTTAAATTTGTTTCCCCACATTGCACTGGCATCATATGCTTAATATTTGACATCCCGCAAAATAATAGAACATGTCACACAGCTCAGAGTACATGAATCTGATTACTTAGTCATAAAAATTAATTCACTGTACTCCAGCTCCCTCTGGAACTTACTAAATAATCTAAAGTGGTGGAAAGCTGAAGTGCTTCCACTTCAGCTTTCTACACTCATTTACCTGTTATTTTCCACACCTGGAAATAACAAATACAATTCAATGCTTTTTCAGAGTGCTAAGAAACCACAGAATTCAGCTTTAAAAAACTGGAATCTAAAGCTAAAGAAACAAATAAAAAAATAATTTGTTTTAATTATTTTAATATTCAGTTCAGGCAATGTTAAAGGTAGTACCCGACTGGGAAAAAATTTGAACATTCACTTTGATGACGTGTGAAGCTGGGTTGAGAAATTGATGTCTGGTAGCGCCTGGTTGCATATTTAATGACATATACTGAACTTTATGAGGCATTAAAGTGGCAGATGGCCACTCACAATCTAGTAAGTCAAAACTGTGCCAGATAACAATGTAGCATACAAAAATGGCTTACATAGGATTATAGCCTTAGCATTTTAAACATCCCACTCAACTGTTACTGTCGTACCAAAGACCTGAACCTAGTTTCAGCACTGCTTGTAAAAGACAATAGGTGGTTTTCAGTCAGCTGCATGTTAGTAATCCCAGTCATTTTGATTTGTTTTATCAGGACTGCTTTTGGCATAGATTCTTTTGCTCATTTTCTGCCGTGTTACTAAAAAAAAAAAAAAAATACACACACACGTGTCTTTTGTATGATGAATTTGTATAATGTTAGAATGCTATGTGTAAAAGTGGCATTACTTCATAATTAGTCATTGCAAACAGTTATTATTAAAGCATATCTTCACATATAGCAAACAGTTATTATTAAAGCATATCTTCACATATAGCACATATAGCATTATACTTCATGCCTGGTGACCTAGATATGACACAAAAGCTCCCAATTAAGCCAACTGGATCTAATTATACATCAGAATAAGTTTTAAATCCTGAATTCTTCTTCATTCAGGCCATAATAGTTGGACACCATGAATATGCTAATGTGAGTTGTGAAAACTGACAACACATCAATTCTTACATTATTTACCATGGCCAGTAAGCACAAGTTTGAATAAGTTAAGTGAAAAACATTCAGCTATGTTAAAATTGAAAATATGTACAACAGTTTTACAACAAACTGTCCTCCGATGTTTTTTTTTGTTTTTTTTTTTTTTTTACCACCACACATTTTCAAATAAAGGCAACTTAGAAACCATAACATTTTGCTTCATTTTATTAGTGAACATTTATAATGTTTTATAAATAGTAAAAGTTGTCAAAGCTCATTAGCCCGCAAGATAAAAACACAGATTTTTTAGAAAGCAGATTCTGAAAGCAGTCTCAAAATGTGCACACATCTTCTTTTCTTTAACATCACTGTTAAGATTGTTCCATCTCACAGCTTTACCATCTTTGGGGATATAAACATGAAGTACAGGCAGCCTCTAATTTTCAAAGCTCTGTGATATTCAGAGGTAATGACTAAATTAAACAATACATTAGATTAAACAGCAGGCTGGGGACATATATAATTAGTGTTAATTTTCTAAATTAGATTCAGATTTTCTTGCACAATTATATAGAATCAAAAATAAACATTTTCAAGTGTATTACTGTTTGTGTAGGTAGAAACAGTCTTTTGTTTTTTTATGTTCAAAGTAAGAGATAAATAACATACCTGCTGAAAACTCACTTTCCTGAGCAGCAAGTGAGCAATCACATCGTTCGTAAAGAGGATATATTATTGGGTCTTTATATAACTGATTAGACGTATTAATGTACAAGAACTGATTAGACATATTAATGTATAAGAACAGTATGGTAGTATAGCTACTGTCAGTCACAAGCTATTTTTTTTTAAATATGATGATTAAGTAAATAATGATTCTACTGTGTGTTCCTTATTTGCAGACTCAGCTTTGCACTTTTTTTGGACCGTTTGTCACTTCCTTAGAAAGGACGGTACAAGAAAGCCCCATTTCCTGAGTTTCTGTGTTCATATTCTGTGAGACTTCCACATCTGCTTTGCCACTCAGAGCTTCGTCTTGGTTTTGCCTGCCAGATGCCACAAAAAAGGAATTGTTTTCATCACATTTCAGAAAGGACGTTTTCTCCTGTTTCGGAGGCCACTCATGCTTTGTCTGCTCTTTTGATATTTCAATCTCAGTCATCTCTGCACTCCACACAACAACGGAACAATTGTTTTGATAATTTGAGCCTGGAGAGTTGGTTGTGTTGGCAGCTTTATTTTGAAGTATAGTGGGGGACTTTGCCTCGGACATACGCGACTCTTTTTGACGTTCAGTGGCAGCAGGTTTGCGACAATATTTGAAGGAATTTCCAGGATAAGCCAATGTTGTGCTCGCAACTGGACTTGTTCCCCCGCTGTGAGGTTTACTCTTCATCATTCCCAAAACTTCATAGCGGAAGCTGGAGATATCTTGCTTAAGCTCCTATTTGTTAAAGTAGAAATAGATAAACAAAGAGCAGCAAAAAGTTATACAGCAGTTCAAGATCACAGAAATCCAAGATTGTATTTATTCTGCGAGAAAAGGAGTCAGACAGTTTGCAAGAATTTAAAGGACAAAGGTAGCAAATAATGTAAATGCTGTTTATAGTGGAGTCCTCCCTGAAAATAAGAATAACGCGGTTCATTCTATACTTTGAATTTTCTTTGAGAAGGAAGCTTAGAAAAATGAAGAAAATTATAAGTTGTGTAGCTAAACTGAACTCAAATGTTCTAGTAAAAAACTTGATATAAATGTCCTCTTGATGTAGTTGCGTGTACAGCAATACAAACAGCTTTATACACTTTAAGAAAATCAAAGTTTACATTGCAATCATACGTACCTTAAAGTTTTCCTCTGTCAACCCTTCCTCGGTTTTGGCATTTCTGATCATTGCAGCAACATATCGTTTCACAAGGTTCTTCAATACACCCTGAAATGCAAACTAGATTTTAGATAAATTCATACGCTGATTCATCTAAGATCAAAACTAAAATGTAATACTATGGTACTTGTTTGACAACAGACCTGATATTCATGGTTTAATTTGACATTTTCTGCTGCTCGCACCTGTGGTTAAAGGATAAGCAAAAGCAGCATATTACCTCTGTCTACTGCTGATACATTTTCTTTACATGCCCTTTCATAACAAAAACAAAAAAAGAAAGAAAAGAAAAAGAGGCTCTTATAATTCACATTGAAATATCTATTAGGTTATTAAATTTATGCCAAGCTCTTCTGGAGCAAAGATTTGAGGCACTGAAAACTCATCAGAGTAAACATCTTGCAACTCCTTACCCCTAATGTCTCAAATGTCTCCAGTGATTTTTTGCTTGGTTTCTTGAACACATTTGTTTTTATCCACCTCAGTAGATAAAACACCGATTTTGGACTCGGTATTATATTGAACGGAGATGGTAAAGTCCCGCCCTCTTCAAAATAGCTCATCCATAATTTTGTTCGTGCAAATTTCCATTCTATGTCTGCATGATCCTGGAAAAAAAAACAAGAAAATAATTAAAATTTTAGGTATTAAGTTAATGTTAAGCCTATCAAAAAACAGATGGCTTATCTATCTATAGGACTTACAGCAATGTGCTGGTAGGAATTGTTCATCATTGCAATTAGCATGTTCAGAAGCACCACCAGGGAGATTATATTGTAGGTGCCGAACATAGTAGAGCCAACAAATTTGGTAAATGTATGGTTTGCTTTCACGTTGGTCACATAGAGACCAATAAGGCCAAACACAGACCAGAATAATGATTGGAGTGCTTCAAACAACCTGAGGAGTGAACAACCAGTAATGTATTAAAAAAAATACTATAACAGATATGTTGAAAAATATTTGATTGTTCGAAATATCAGTGGAGATAATGACTTGACTTACGTTGAAAAGGCATTATTTTGGGTATAACATCGAACACCGTAGCAGTCCTTTTTACCATCCTTGGTTAATGGGACTGTTGCATAGTAATAATAGAGCTGGTTAAGGCCATTCGCAAAAGCCAAAAGCACGAGACAGTAGATGAACAGAAATTTGAGGATGTCCAGAAGCATTCGGCCAAGTGAAATCTGTAAGGGACCCAAGTGTGAGTTGGCAGTGAAAAGACTGATCAGACGTAAGGTGCTGAAGATGTTAGCAATGGCAAACAAGGCCTCTGCTATCAACGTGGGGTGCATCATTTCCCAGCTGTCTCTCGGTCTGCAATCTTTGTGCTGTTAAAAACAAACAAACAAACAAAAAAAAAACATTTAATTAACAATCAATTTGTATTATCACTGTATAGTCGATGTAAAATCAACAACTAAGCTCATCTACACTTAAGGCTGCAAATTACCTTTGCATATGCAACAATTTTTAGAGAAATAGTTGCAAGATACAAGGAGTTCATTATGAAGTCCATTATGTTCCACCAATCATCCATGTAGTCCTTTAAACCACTTTCCCACATTTGTTTGATTTCAGCCCATATGAAACCTTGGATAAAACAAGTAGCAGGTGTAAACTGAGGTTAAAACATTATTGGTCACTACATATGGTCACCTGGGACAATACACGGTAAAAAAAAAAAAAAAAAAAAATTAAAAAAAAGCTAAAATTTGCTATAATTATTTTGATACACATCCTTACACGTATTTACAGTAAGTTACAGTAGATAAAGTTAAAATTTTCAATAATGTTACTTATTACAGATTAAATATAAACAACAACGAATGCATATGATGAACAACGGGTGGCATGTGTTGTTACCAATCACCCAGGGCAGGATAAGCCATTCCACAGTGGTGGGTTCTGGGCCCTGGATGTGGGCAGCCTGGCATGCTGGGTCATCAGAGTCGATATGCTGTGAGGCCAAGAAGAGCAGGAGGAGGAAGGTCAAGTAGGAAGAAGTGTGGCAGATAAACTTGATGAAAGGTTTACGGATGAATTGGCCATAGCGAGTCTTTGGAAAGAGCAGGTAGAAGACAGAAAGCAACGGAAAGAGGAGGCCGATGAAAGCACAGGTGATGAGCTTCACTGCCCAGTGACGCCTCCTCCAGCCTGGGAACTCATCATACCACCGAGACGCAAGAAGCTGCTGGCAGTTGGGTTGAGCGACAAACTGGGGAAAAGAGACATAGAAGAAAAGGTAAGAGACTGAAACCTAAAATAAGCTCAACCTTTTTTCTGTCTTTAAAGTCTGTTTTTAAATCCATTTGCTTGTTAAAATACAACAGCAAAATATGGCTGAAATAATTCAACGTGATGAATCAATTATTGAAAATAATCGTTAGCTAATTTAGTAGTCAATCAATTAACTGAGTACAGACTCGAAAACATTGATTAATCATCAGAATGACAGACAGATTAATCAATTACTAAACTAATTATTAGTTGCAGCCCCACAGCAAATGTTTAAAACGTGTAAAAAAAATCGCTTTGGGAAAATGATGCAGTTTTACTGCAACATGGATACAATATGGATGCAGGGTTTTTTGAGGAGCGCAGTTGGCTCACCGTTTCATGTCATAGAGAATTTGAGTTCTGGCTGCCCAGTAGATCAGGAAAAGAGCACACAAATAATACACTACCACTCAAGCTCAGCTTTTCTGATTTCTGGGAAACTATAGGAAGGTTTCAATTTTTCAGGCTGTCAGTTCGAAGACAAAATCTCAGCATCAATATCGGAGTCGAGGCATGATTTTGTCCTTAACAGGAAAGCAGAAGCTTTAAAGAAACTGTTCCACAAGGCCAAAGAAATATCCTTGTGACATTTTTTGACAATGCATTGTGGTATGATGGAAACCAGTAAGTGAAAATCTATTTGGTGACAACTTCAAACATATCAGCAGCCTCATAATTTCTATCACTTTAATGCTTTCCAAATTTCTCAAAGACAGTAAAAAGGAGATCACAGGATGGTGTTAATTCAGGAGGATGGGGTCCTTACCAGCCTTAATAAAACAGTAATAATTTTCTCAAAAAATAAAGAGCCTATACCTTAAAC